CCCCCAGCCCGGAGAGCGGGTCGGTTCCTCACACTCTGCAGCAGGCTCCTCCTCTGCGCTGCCATCTTGAAGGGACCCCCGCGGCGCGCCCGCGTCCTGGCGGAGCAACGAGAAAGACGGCTAGAGCGGCCCAAAGAGCTGGGTTGACTGCGTTGGCGGGAGCATAGGCACAGCGCCACCCTGGGGCCGAGGGGGCGTCGGGCCTCCCGGAGGGTGTGCGCACGCGCGCTCTTCCGCTTTCTCTCTTCAGGGTCAGGAAGGATGCAGAGTGCTTGCCTCCTTTACAGTCCTCACGCTCTTACCCCCTCGTTCCTCCCGTTTTCAGTACTGGAGATTGAGCTCAGGGCCTTTCCACTGAGCTACATTCCCGGCCTTTTAAATTTATTTTAATTTTTGAGATAGTGTCTTCCTTAGTCTCTTAAATTGCCCAGGCTACACTTGAAATTGTGATTCTCCTGCCTCAGCCTCTCAGAATCCTGGACTACAAGAATACGTCACGGCGCCCATCCTCCTCTCCTGTCTTTAGGTGTGTACTTTCTCTAGGATGTCTTTCAGATGGGATTCCTAGGGCCCAGGATTAGTGCTCTTTACGAACACAACGGGATAGGAGAGCAAATTATTCACTCACTCAACAGATGTTTGTTGGATTTCTGCACCTGAGCGTGGAGTGATGGCACAGCTGGCAAAAGAGACCTGCAAAAGCTAACGTTTGAACTGGGGAGGCTGGCGTTTATGCACAAGAGAAGTTCCATGTGTTTCTAAATGCTAAGAGAAGTTTACAGATGGTGATGGGAGAGCCTTGGCTAGCAACACAAATATCAGGCCTGTTAGACTGGTGCAGAGGAACCAAGGAAAGAGAGGGTGGGTTCGAAGAGCACAAGGTTCACAGAAGGCTATGTAGCTGGGGCAGAGGCAGAGGAAGAAAGAGCGACGGAGTGTGGGCACCAGTTAGGAGTCTGGCTGTCCATCTGGAGGGCAAAGAAGTTGTTGGCCTCTAAGCAAGCCGTGGACACAGCCCTCTTGGTAGATTCCTTTGACTACTGGTGTGGACAAAACAGATCTTTAGGGTTGGAATAGGGACAGGAACATCAGTTAAAAGACTGTTCCAGGTGAAAAGAAGACAATGGCTGAGTTGGCTGGTGGTAGCAGCTGGCTTTTATTTAGGAGATGAAATCACTAGGACTTGATCATGCACTGGTTGTGTTATGGATGGTTGCTAAGGTTAGTCTGTGTCTCCCAGAAGGTCATTGTTGGGAACTTAGACCCCAAATGCTGATGCTAATTAGAGGTGGGGCCTTTGGGAGGTCATTGGGTTAGATAGGAGGGGGGGTCGTGCTGGCATTTTAGTGACTTTCTGAGAAGAGGGAGAGACCCAAAGTCCTGCACTTGCTTTGTCTTGCCATGTGGTCCTCACCAGACACCAGTGCCAGGCCTCTATTCCTTACAATGTCCCAGTCTCCATTATTTTTTATTGCCACAGAAAATGGACTAAAGTGTGGTGATGGGAAGAGGGGTATTAAAGATTCTCCCAGATTTCTGGCAAAGACAGATAAGTCTGGGGGAAAGGAGGAGTCAAGTGAATAGTTACAGGGGACCAGGGCTCAGAACAGAAGCCAAGTCAGACTTGGTGGTACATGCTTGTAATCCCAGCACTTGGGAGGCTGAATCAGGAGGATCAATGCAAGTTCAAGGCCAGCCTGAACTACGAGACGTTGTCAGAAAACAAAATAAAACAGAAGCGGAATGTGCAAGACAGCAGAGAACGAGCAGCTGAGGGGCAGGGGGTGGACATGAGGCCCACCCAGCCCAATGTGAGGGGTAGTGAGATGCTTTGGAAAGACCTACTTAGCAGATAGCAGAGGGAAACCCGCTAGATTTAGACATCTACAGGGCCCTCAATCCACACATTCAGTAGAATAGGAGGACAGAGCCCCCATGTAGGCAGTTGAGGAATGGCTGGAGGTAGAGGCGTGGAGACTTTAAGAAAGAGACAGCCCTTCACAGTTGGTGTTCTTTGAAGAGACAGAGGCAGGAACTTGGGATGGAGGGAGGATTTTTTCCTTTCAGGTTGGGAAGAACTTGAGCCTGAGCAGCTACTGAAAGGAAGGCTAATAGAGAAGAGCTAGTGATTCAGTAGTGGGGTGGGAGGGAAATCTAGAGCTCATCATCTTGCTGTCTTACCAGCAGAGCTTCACATGGCCCAAAATGACTGCTTGGGCTGCAGCCATTTTGCCCAAGGCCAATCATCAGGGAAGAGGAAGACAGGGAGATGGCACCTCTCTTTCTTCCCTCTTCCTTCCTTTTTAATTAAACAAACATTTATTTGCAAGCACTTTCCCTTTCCTTTTAAGGAGACCTGCGCAGGTTCCACATGCTGCTGCTACTGAAATTTTATTGATTATAACTGAGCCCCATGACCATGCCTAGCTGCAAAGGAGGCTGGAAATGCAGGCTTTATTCCTTCTATTGTCTTTTTTTTTTTTTTTTTTTTTTTTTGTACTTGGGATCAAACTCAGGACCTTGCACTTCAATGAAGATGCAGGCTTTTGACTGAGCTACAGAGCACTCAGGTATAAGCAGGCTTTGCTACTAATGAAGGGTTGGCAAATGTGGGTCAGGAAGCTGTGAGTAGGCTGCCCTAAAGGAGGCAGAAGGGGCCAGGTAATTTGTCAGGTGAGAATCTGGAATGAGGACGGGGAGCCCACCCTACCTGCTGGGATTAAACAAGAAGCTCTGGAAATCCTGATGGGGTGGGAGCTGATGTTCATTACATTCAGATCCCAGCTTGTTGTTTTGTTTTTTGGTTTTTTTGTCCAGCGCTGAAGATTGAACCCAGGGCCTTGTGCATGCTAGGCAAGGGCTCTACTGCTGAGCCACACCCCTAGATCAACAATTTAGTTTTCTAGAAAGATAATAAATACATAATGGAATGCCTACTGTATACAGGGCACTGTTGGATGCTTTTTCATCCATGGAATTATTTATTTCACTTTCCAACCTTGTGAGATGTGTATTAACCTTTTATAAAGTAGGAGGACCCTAATTCAGCAAGTCACCCTACAAATGGATGTCAGGATGTGAACCCAGGTCTGACTGCAGCCTTTCCCAGAAACCTGATGAGGTATGCAGACCCTTTGAGGCTCTTCCCAGCAGAGGCTCCTGTGATTACTTGCAGTTTCCCAAACAGCCTTTTCCTTTCCTGCCTCTACCTTCGGACACATTGTTCCCCCGACCTGGAATGCTTTTCCTGAGTTCCTAGTGACTCCTCAGTGAACTTCAGACTCGCTGTTCCTGTAGCTTATCTAATGCAATCCCTTCTCAAAAATGTTTCTTGATTCATATCCTGAGAATGATACCATTGGTTACTTTTGATTACTTAAAATCATAGTTATTGTTTGCAGTGAACTTCACAGAGGCTGATCTCTGGCAGTTTTGCTCTGGGTTTCCTCGTGGGCTCCAGGAAGCTGCTCAGCAAATATTTCTAATATCAAACTAGTTAAAGAGCCAGGCAGATTAATGGACATTTGTTTAATGAGGAAACTGAGGCATGGCAGTCCCAAGGTCCCCAAGTGATTTAGTGGGGAGCTGAGACTATAGCTTGCGCTGCCAGACTCCCCCCTCAGCCCTCTTTCCACACTCAACCCCCCAAAATAGTTCAGTGGCAGGCTCTTCTTCTGGATGTCCTGGGGTCTGGTTTTTGAGGGATCAAGAAGAGGTTACTGAGCTCTGCGTAGCAATGGGAGAACACGCATTAAATCAGCACTTCCTTTTTGCAGGGCTCTGAGCTCTCAGGGCTGCGAAGAGGAGGCAAGGAAATCTGGTGAGGACAGGCCCCTTCCCCTCTGGGGACAATGGGCCTGGAAACCGAGCTGTAAGGTGGGTCCTGTTTTCCCCAGGACAAGCATGTGTCACAGTAGAGTCAGTTCAAAACATGGGTCTGCTGGAGGAACAAAGATGTCACCACCGCCAGCCTTGATAACCACTTAACAGCCATTGCAAGCTCGGGGGCCTGTCATGGGCATCCAGATGAGTGTGTCACCTGGCATGGACAAAGGTCCCTGATGCATCCTGGAACCCACACATAGCGAAAAACGTGAGATGATCACACCATGGCCTTTCCAAACCACAGACACTGCAGATGGGCGATGTGTCCTCAGGACACCTTCTGGGGGCTAAGAAGGCCCTTGCGCGGTGAGAAACATTGGACACCTCCTCTTACCATAAGATCTGCAGTGTGGCTCTCTACCCTGCACAGTTCCTCCAAGGCACCAGGTTCCGTTCAAACCTTGGTCTGATAAACAGCTGCAACGGCAAGCCTGGCTTGGAGATACTGGCTTACAGGCTGCCCTGAGCACACAGAAGAGTATTGGGAAGGGAGAATAGATTTGCTTCTAGCTGCAATATCCGGTCACCAGTGTTTACAAGGACCTGTCCTCCTACCTCCTTCTTGCACCATGTCCTCAGATTCTCTCTCCCTGCTCTTTAACATCAAGTGGAGACAGCCTGAGCCAGGACAGCAGGCTTCACAAGGTTGCCATCCTCTGGTGCTGTCCCAGGACCCCCAGAGGAGTGCTGCCTAAGGGTTGTCACCTAGATCAACTCTTGATTACTGCCCTCCTCCCTGGACATGGGCATCCGGTGATATCTCCAGGACTCAGCTCCCAGGAGGACACCTATAGACTCAGCATCTTCCCAAATTCCCTAGAACAAGGCTACAACCAGCCTGACAACACTTCCTGCAGGTTTGGAGCAGTTGGGGCAGATTTGAATCAGAGGAGCTGCCACCGTAGCTGGAGGTCTGGAATCCTCCATGGGGACCGCAGTTGCTGGCTTCACTTGTAGCCCTCACTGGTTTTGGTGCAGGGACTGGCTGACAGCATGAATGACCTCGACTGTGTCCCCCGAGCTCAGCAGACCCTGTACCTCTCTCCCCCAACAGGAGAAATCTGGCCTCTGGCGCAAAGCCTGCTTCAGCTCCTGTTTCTGAAGGACATATGGTGGGCATCTTCCTTCTCGAAGGGCTGCTCAGCTCTGCCAGCCTGGCCAGACCATGAGGACAAATGACTGCATCTTCTGATGTCACCTAGAGTCCTGTAGCCCAGTCCAATGGGTCCGTGCTGAAGTG